CCGTCCATCCATCCATCCGTCCATCCTTCAATTCATTTCATTTCATTTCATTTCATTCATTCATTTGTTTAGTCACTAATTCACTGATTAATTGACACATTGGTTCATTGGTTTACTGACTCACTGGTTCACGGTTCACTGATTCATTGACTCATTGATTCACTGGTTGATTCATTGATTCACTGATTCGTTGGTTCATTGATTTACCGATTCATTGATTCACTGATTCATTGCTTCTTTGATTAACTGATTAATTGGTTATTGACTCACTGATTCGCTGAATCCCTGATTCACTGATTCATCGACTCATTGATTAAACACTGATTCATTGGCTCACTGGTTCATTGATTGTCTGATTTGTTAATTCGCTGATTCATTGATTCACTGATTCATGGGTTCATCGCTTCATTGATTCGTTGATTCATTGGTTCACTGATCCATTGACTCATTGCTTCTTTGATTCATTGGTTCATTGATTCATTCAATCAGCTGTGCCTGGATTCTTTCATGTCATTTCATTGGCATCTCAACAACCATGTGCTTTTCGAAACTTCCGTCCCGGCACGTGCCGGGCACTACTGGTATGGGTATCTGTATAGCCAACAACACTCGGGAAGAAGATGCAACAACAATCGGAATGAGTATATATATATTTATTTATTTATTTATTATACACATTGAAATCTAGCAAGTGGCTGCATCTAAAGACAGCAAACGGCTGCATCTAAGACCAAACATAGATGTAACAAACAATCAATAGTTCTACGAATCAGCGGTGCTACAAGAATCTACAAACAGGGGTCACAATCATCCGCGTATATCCCAAATACAAGTCGTTGATGATGATGATGATGGTGATGATGGTGATGATGGTGATGATGGTGATGGTGGTGATGGTGGTGATGGTGATGGTGATGATGATGTCGTGTAAACCTCAATAGACACAATGCTAAGAGACTCGGTGGTGCTATTCTAAACTCATTGGACCCATTGGCACTTGAGCAGTCTTCAAACCGTCTGTCATTCCAATATGCTGGTTGATGAAGAGTGGGATTCCCAATGCATGGATTATAATGATCCTTGTTCTATTGGGTAGTATAAGCTCCATACAATCCTCAACCAACCATCGTTTTTCAATCATACCATATATCCCTATCCCTATGATTTTGCTGGCTACAACATGTTAAAGACCCTCATATTTGGTGACAAAATCCCCACGCCTCATCAGGTTCCCAAAGCGTACGCCCATCGTTCAGCCGCAGAACCTTCAGGTACGGCCTCGGGGAACCACGATCTGATTCTCTAACTTCCACCAGGGAAGAAATTGGGTGTGTCTCAAGTCTCAAGATATGGGGGAAACAAAAACACAGGTTTTATCATGTTTTATCATGGTTTTCCCTGTCCAATGGTCGCAAATTGAGGCATCCCCACAGTTTAAGACAAACCCAAATTACTCGCAAAGTCTTATGATTGGTTCCGAAACTATTGATGCTGGTCACTAGTTATGTTTGTTGAAAAAACCTTCAGAGGTCTGATCTTAGCCCATCAAAAAAAAGGCACCATCATCCAAAAAAAACTAATAATTTGATGGTCATTGTCCCATTATATCACCATTATATCCCCATTGTCCAACCAGATGGGAAAAGAAAACGCCATCCAGGTCCAAGTAACACTTGGTCATAGCTTTGGGCGTCTGCCAAGATTTGCGCCCCTGGTAGATGAAACTTCAGCTTCCTCTGGAAGTCATAGAAGGCCTGCCAGGGTGGTGGCAAACCAGGAATCCCTGGAAGGATACCCTCTAGGTGGCGACAGAAAATCACCCCCCAAATGCGGAAAATCGTCTTACTGAAAACTTATAACGCGTGTATACATATAGGATTCTCTAGTGCCAGATTGGATGACTGGACAGTAGCCAGCTGATTAAGAAATGTGCAGAGATTGTAATCTTGTCTCCAGAGGGATCCAGTCAAGATTCATTCATCTCTCCAAATGGTCAATCTTCAGCTTCCACCCAAGGATTTTGCTGTATCAACTGTTGAAGGATAGATTCTTTGATCTGTTTAAGCTCATGAAAGAGTCCAAAGATGGTTCATCCATGAAACCTTTCATAGATCCCAATCAATCTTTAGACTCTACAAACAATCATCGCACCTGGTAACTCCAACCGTTCTTGTCACTCATCGCCACCCGCCCTGGGTCCCTCTAAACAGAGCTGTCAGCAAACGATTGGGGAAGTCATCTCCACAACCACCCTTCATTGGAACATTTCTGAAGCCCTGCTATCATTGGGTTCCCAATGGGCGCCCCGTATGCCGCACCCAACAATTTTCTCTGCACCAGCCAATTTTTTGGCCCAATGATAAGCCGCCATCTCCACCCGTCACCATGGCACCTGGGCAAAGAGGAACTTCCGGTATTGAATCGCCAGTTTCACCCCATGGCCCGCGGGCGCCAGACTGTTGTGCTGCAAACCTTGATTTGCGACGGGCACTTCGCGACTTCGAACTCGCGTTCTGTGAAAACGGTGCGAAAACCGGGGAAAAACACTGGTTGATCAACATGTTTCCCATTGAAATAGCAATTTGGAGTGCATCCCCCCATGTTCTAGACAAACCAAAAACTATGCATTGCAAATAGTTCTTCTGTCCCGTTTGAAATTCTAATGTGCCTGGCTTTCCAAATTGAAATCCAAACTGTTGGGCATGGAGTTGTTCTTGGATTACCCATCCATTTTTATAGGTGCCCTAACTCAGGTTTGGCTCTAGACGGGAAGGGCATTGAGACCCACTAAAGGCACAAGTCGACCCAAGGCAGCTTATCATCATTTCATTGTTTGGATGCATTCGAAAATGCATTGAAAATTGAGTTATGCTGAGGATACCACAGCCACAAACTATAGGTGTTGTGGATCGTTGATGATTCAAACACGTCGAACTTCCCTCAGATTGCTGTGCTGAATTGCTTACAAACAAAATAGGAACATTTGGGTATGGGTCAATATCATTTACTGTCCCTCAAAATAACCAGATAACCACAAAATTTGCGGCTTTCTGTGGGTTTAATAGTTACCACATGTTACCACCAAAAATCTATCAATTCCCTATTTGGTGGCTTTGTTGAAACCACATTTTGCCCCCTTGGCCGGGCTGCACATGTACTGCGGGCTCCAGTTCCGCTGCTTGTGGTATGGATACTGTCGTCGTAATCCCGGACGGAAGATCCGTGGATCATCAGTACTGTGCAGCCTCAAACGGCCAGCTTTTTAATACCTCCTATCTGGGGGTGCAGTGGAGGGTTATCAGTATGTAAGGCACTACTGTATGTGTAGGGGTGATATCCGAAAACGGCGGCATGAGTGAAATGTGTCTACCCAGGACACAGAAGTCGATCGATATTCCGAATATTCAATCTCTGCTTGGCAATTTCTCATCGACCGTCATTTTTCAGAATATCCAAGATCATGAAATCGAGAGGTTTCCCCTTTTCAGTACGCGTCGTCCAGAGCTTGATCACCCACTTTCGGTTGCTCAAAGTTGTGCCTGAAAATCGGCTACGCCTGAGTGACTGGTATGCACCCGTTGCCGAAAAAAATGACCCACATCCTGTCCATCCTATCATTCTTGCGCCAAGTAGCCCAAAGTCGCCCCGCGCCCAGATGCCCTTGCGCACGTACTTGGGACCGCGAGTCTGTTGCCTGCAGACTGTACCGCAACCAGCATGGGGAACTCTTGTTGAAAAAATGAGTGTGTGTGTGTGTGCGCGCACAAAATTCTTGTAAAAATCGATAAAATTGGATTGGAAAATATATAAAGAATTATATAAATAAAAATAGTAACAACAAATAAGAAAAGAAACAAAAAATAAACCATGAAAAAAAAACGAAACTACTGGATTTCAGCAGGGATACATTATTGTTTAGGGCGGACATATCCAAACAGAACCTCTAGGGGCGGATGACTTTGTGGTTCCAAAGAATCTTTGGACATACACGTTTTGACCTTGATCATCGAGCCATACATGACCGAAAATGAAAATGGACCCAAATATTCCTTGGATTTGGATGGACTTGCGAGTTCAGAAGCCCTTGGTCACCAATCTTCAGTGGGATAAAGCGTCCTCTCCCAAGTTCGAAAGTTAGAAGTGGGCACTAAAGGAGATTGCATGGGTCAAAATTGACATGAAATGATCAAAAAATCCTGGTGCAAATCCACTATGAACAATCCAGAATAAACTGCATAAACCATCATCAACCTAATTGCCATAAACCTTCCAATGGGATGGTTTGAAATCCCACCCATGCCTGACAAATGTGAAAAAATTGGGCCTAGCACAAGGCAGCACCACGTCGGCCACACGCTGGGGGAGTCGTTGGCACCACATGGCGACCCAGTGATGGCAGAGGTGGTGAAATGTCTCTGGCGGAGTTGTGAGAATAAGGTGTTTACGGGGTCTTTTTTAGCCTTGCGAAGCTTCATTTGTGGTGATCTTGTGGCCAGGTCCTTCAAATTCAACCAGCGATGTGATAACTGGAGGTGTGGCTGATGTGAGCATGGGTCATGGGGTCCCCAGAAACTCACTGACTTTCTTTAGAGTATTCAAGTTGGGGGGCAAGACTTTGGGGAAGACCAAAAAAAACAAACAACCTGTTTACTGCTGAAAATAGGTCGAATGGTGCTTGGATGATGTTGGCTCTGGCTTGTATTGCCTCATTATGGTGAAACCCAAGCGCAGGGTGATCTCTGAAATTGGCACGGAGCCAAAAAAGGGCGAAGGCATGCGAAGGCTACCTTTCGATGCCCCACGCAGACCCACAACAGCAAGATCGACAAGGACGGCTGCACGGCAGGACGATTCTAACCAAATGCGTTTGGCTCAAAACCAAGGTAAAAATTGCATATCTGGATCTTCAACCATTCAGTTTTTGGGTGGGTTCCGTTTAGTAATCACGGCGCCGCACACTTTTGTGAGCAACTCAACCGTGCTGAAAATCTGAGGTCTTTCCACGAGCCTCGGTCAAGATGGTGAGTTAAGGCGTCCCATCGGTGTTCACTTCAGGCAACAGAGCCTCTATAATCTCTATAAAATTCCATGTGATCCAACTATGATCATAAATCAATCATGGATCCGATAGAAGTCCCAAATCTATCATGGTCTTCGGCCCAAAAAAAGAAGACAATTTCAGGACAAGCAAGCTGAGATTGGTGCCCCCAAGGCACCCAGTAGAAGGGCATCCTGGACAAAAAAGAGATGTGGGCATAGTAACCTCAAGTGACTGCCATGCCGCTGCCTAGGGTTTCCTTTCTGAATCAGGCACCCGTGGTTGTTAAACTAACATAGATCCTGAAAACGACTGGAGGACCACCTGAAGGTTGAACATCTCGAAATCAATAGGTTTAGTACAAGTGTTCACAACGTTTCTGACAGATTGTGGCCCCAAACGAGATTCATAGCACCACCAACTTTACAGCACCACCAACTTGTCAGCACACGCCGCTCCTCGGCGCTCAACCGCCAACCTCAGGCTATGCAGTATGCATCAAAATCTGTGGACAAACTGGCTGCATTTTGTAAATAGTTTCATATCACTATCTACCAAATGGTTTCTTGAAATTTGAGAGCCTCACACTAAGTTAGCTATCAAAATTACACATTCATGAATATGTGTGTACACGCCACATAAAAGTAGGTTCTTTTCCATAAATTTGAACGTTTCTTTACACATCGTCTTCCAAGGGCTCCGAATGTGTGGGCCACGGAAAAATGGCATCGGTAGCCGGCTTCTTGGCTGCGATCGCCATCACTGATGTTCGGTCCGCGAAAGTCCATTCTGTGGAAAATCGCTCATCTTTTTTGGAGAAAATCGCCCAAAACCATGGATTGATCTCTTGCCAAAACCATGGTTGAGCCACAGCCAAAAAGGGCGCCCGAACCCATGGCACCAGCATTCTCGGAGGCTTGAGTTCCGTCTCGAGCCTGAGAAACAAAAATTGCCAAAATGGCCACGGAAAGGACAGGTAAATGATCTACAAATGGGTTATATATATATATATATTTCATATATATTTCATATATGTGTTAAATTACCATAGGGTAATGCGGACATGTGTTTTTTGTTTCTAGGAACTATACGTATGATTCATGCTAGGATGTGATTCTACGAATGGAATGGGTGTATTCTACTCATATCTGCGTTCTGAAAAACAGGGGAAATAGACAAGAATACTCATGTTCAATGGGAAAATCATCTAGAATCTAGAAATGTCCCCTCCAAGATTGGATAACCCCACTGGGAAGATGTACGAACCGTTGTTACCACCCAACAAAGTATCCCCAACTATCAACATGTTGCATTATGCCCAAAAAGGGTATACCAAGTAACAATGCTTGCATTTACCTCATTACAAAGTGGGACGATCCTCCAAGCAGGTTTGGAGGTATGGTTGATTGCTTAAACCCGTCCTGCCAATTCCCGAGACCTCTCAGACACCCAAGTTTAAGCCCAGATTTCAGGAGGCAAAAAACCTAGAAATTCAACAGAAATCAGCCATCATTCATGAAGTCTGCACCTTGCATCCCCATCTTTTCTGTCAAATTTGGCAACGCCATCCCTAAGTCAGAGACGCCACAGAGTGCGATGGCCCCCTGCAGGCGGATGTTGGATGTTGGGCCTGGTGGGAACCATTGAGGTTCACCAAGCCATGGTTCCAGAAATTGGGCATGTTTTGTCCAATACCATCATTTCATGATGCATTTTGAGCCATATCCGTATCAGATACAGTATCAGCAGTGCCAAAGAGTTCCGATGTTGGATGATTTTGGTGGACCATTTTGGACTCCTGGACCTATCCCTGTGGCCAGTAGGGTGCAGGAAAATGATTCAGGGACCACAATAGTGACCACATGCTTCGAAGGACAAGTTCACCCTCCAAATGGCAGGCTCAAAACGCTGTTACCCTTCTGTTCACACCAGAATAGCTGGTCAATGGATGTTCATCCTGTTCAGCCCTCCCAAATATGGGAAATTTACATGTATTCTCCAGGAATCCAACATGGCTGGCTGGAACATCTCCCCAAAAAATTGAGGTCTCAATGGGAAAATCATGGAAAATCATCCATGAATCAGGTTCCAACCAGCCACCTTTGATGACACCGGATCCCCCGCCTGGCACAAGACCCAGTTGATGGCCACCTCCGAGGCTGTGAATCAAAATAGCTGGTAAACGGATGGTTATATGTATGATTGGATATTGTATGATCTATCTATAGCTGGTAAATGGGGATCATACTAAATAGCTGGTAAGACATAGTATGATCATGTATGATCTCCATCTCTATGTTAGAAATCTATAAATGTCATTGAGTCATTAAATATCTATCAAGGAAGGCACAATCCAACACACCATCCATGATTCTCAGGGAATCCATAGGCTGTTTCTGCCACTTCTCTCATTGGCTTCCTTTCCTGGCACCCCGTGCAGCCGCCTGTGCACATGTCTTGCCATATTTCTGGCCCATCTGCCACAGGCCGTAGGGTCCAGATACCCCGACTTGAAATGGGGGATCTCCCAAAAAAAAAATCATTCAGTGGAAAACAAGATGATAAACCATGGGAGTTGTGAAAAACTGCCGCTTGAAATATACTTGTAACGACCAGTGGGAAGAAGGGGGCCCTTAAACCGAAACTGAAAGTGGTTTCTGCGGCCAAAGAGGGACACTGTTAGGTGGATGTTTTGAGCGAAACACTGGGTTCAAATGCCTCACTTTCTTCTGGGGAACCAAGTGAACCTGCATCCCAAAGCCCTTGAAAAAGTTGAACCCCAAGACCTCAAACTCCAGGTGACCCATTCCTGGAAATCGGGGAGCTTCTGAAAGATCTCAGTTTCCCAAGGTTGCAAGGAACCCCCAACCTGCTGAAGCTTTGTCAGCAGTTGGTGCCAGGCATCCACATCTTCGTCCAAGCTAGCTCCTGTCGCGTTCAAGGGGCGGCAACAATTCACCAAGAGGAAAAGGTGAAGGATACACCACAAATGGCGAACCTGAAAATTATGCGAAAAGCTCTCAAATTTGATGGTTTTGAAAAAGCATGTTCCCTACCAAGATTGCCATTTAGAGGGGTATGCCGTATGCCCCCTTAATGGACAACCCAAAGATCTACAAAGTTTCTTCACTGCTCAGGCATGGCGCACCGAAGGGCCGTTGCGCCATTCCGCCGCGGCGCCGTTCCGCCCATGTGGGTGCTGGACCCCAGGGGTCCTGGGGTGATCCGAAACATCAGCCAGAGCTGAAATCCAAATCCATGGTCCCAAAGATTTCCAGATTTGGGGGTTTCCCAAAATGGTGGTACCATAGCTGGATGGTCTTTTTATGTCTTTTTGATGGCTCATGGAAAATCCTGATGGAAAATCAATGACTTGGTGCTACCCCCATTGATGTACACCCTGATTTGATGTTCTAGGATCAGGAATCCTGTGGATTTCAAAGGTCAAGGCCATCAAGATCCAACTAGCTTCCCACCACAAGGTGGGCGTGTCGACCCACGCCCACGAAAGTATCAACTCTTGGCGATCTTTGGTGAATGGGGCAAACCCAATATCCAATCGTTGATCATTTGTCATCATTATCCCTATTGAAATCGCCCTGTTTTTGGAACACAAACCATTTTGGAAGTCTCACGTGGCTGAGGTGCGGACATATCGCCCTGAGAGACGGCCCATCGCCAAGGGTGAAAAGGCCAGGACCTGGAGCCACCGGAGTATCTGAGTGGTACAAAACTCTGATCGATGACGTCCCATCTTCAACAGTTTTTTTGCACATGTGATGGGTGCCCTGGCGGTGATCCCCAGTTCACGACAGCCATTCACCTCGGTTCCGTGGTCCCGCAGCAATGGGCTTTCATTGGCTTTCATGAGTCATCACGTTTCTGTGAACACCAGGAAATTTGGTGAAGGAACCTTCCATCTGGAGATATGGACCAGAAAGAATCTCTGCAAAGAGTGCTGTTTTTTGTATACTGTATCTGCGCCAAGGGATCAAGCCTCCCCTACCTCCCCTTTTTCGACACATACTGGTCAGTCCATCGGTGTGTCCCACAGTGCAACCGTTACGCACTCTACCCGAGTTGGTTGGTGGTTCAACCCATCTCAAACAACCCAAGTCTATTGGGAATGATCATTCCGAATCATGGCGGAAATGATATCTTCCGGCGGCAGCACATACCTTTACAGTGTACAGGAAATCAAAGTTAAAGTCCTGTGGCAAGGATCCCCTTTTTGCTGAATATTCTTAATGATTCAATTGTTGATCAAATTGCCCGTTTGTGTTTCTATTCTCAACTAGTTGTTTTGTTTAATCCCCAGCGAACCCGACTGAGTGTTGACCCAAGAGGGATAATTGATAATGGTCATGTCCCCTGGAGTGGTAATAATACCTCTCCAACCATAAATTGACACCAACTCATAAGTGACAGTTCCAAACAATGACAATTATCATTGCTCATTGCATCCCCAATTATGACCTGTCTGAAATTGGATTTACGAAACATATGAATCATATTATAATCATATTATGAAATATGTTGCAAACTATTCTCAAGGCAACTATCTGAGTGAATTGTAACAGTTCTGCAACTTGAAGTGTTCAGCCATGTTTTGATTCGCGACGTGAAGTCGCCATAACTTACCCAGGACTATGATACTATGCTTCGTAGGTAACTATGGTTGGAAAATATGGATAGCAACTAAGAGAGAAATTTGTCAAATCCTGTAAGAATCCTGTAAATATCCTATGAATATCCTATAAATCCATATGAATCCATATAAATCCATATAAATCCTATAAAAATCCTTGAAGGAAATATGTTGTCCAAACCACCAAACGGTTCTGCCTCAGGCACTCACTAGGCCCGAAGCCACCGGCAGTTGCCGCGCCAACGAGAGCTCGACCTAGTCGGGTGGGTACCCCCATGCCTTCGGAAACCTTCATTGTGTATAGTGTGGTAAACCCAACAATAAACCCCCGCAATCACCATAATGAAATCATCCATGGTAGGTTTATCATTGGGTTGCCTACATTATGATCATCTTAATAATTATTACATAGTTACAATAACCAACTATTATCATTATTGGGTACTATTACATTACGTAGTTGTCAGCACTGTCTGTGTCTTGAGAATCTGACGGATTATCAGTAGTCTTGAAGTAAGCCCCGATTTCAACCAACAACATCTCCCAACAGCTGAGGGGTCCTACCTGGCAGGTGCTCAAGCGAAGACCTTGGCGTTGCAAATGTTCATGCACCACCCGGAGTTCTTGCAGCGAGAAGTTGCAGACCTCGGCAGACTTCACCACCCATGAAGGGTAGAAACACCAGAATTTGAGTTGCGCAAACCAATGTTTCGAATTGTCCTTTTCTGCATCGGTCAAAAGAATCAAGTGGAGTTCAAAGTGCTTCTCTTTGAACCTAAGACCTAGGTGGGAAACCACCAGCTTGGAGTCACCACCCATCGTTTGGGAGGCCCCACACCTATTGCTTTGGCAGCGCCGCTTCTGACCTTGGCCAAAGCTGAGGCTAAGCATGACCAAAGCTGGTAGCCTTTAAAATTCATCGTTTCGCAACTCGTAACCCTGGATTCTTAGCAACTACCTAGGCTGTTGAATTGGGAGTCCCATTCAAGTGGCAGATGACATCACTATTGGGCTGGTACCTCCTAATCAATCAACCGCAGCCAGGTGGACGTTGCTCATCCCCAGCTAGTACAAGTACCTGGTGGCTCATCCCACTTAGTAAGTGGGTTAAGCACCCCAATTATAAGTGGATTAACCCTACTTATCCCATTTATAACTGGGGTTATAACCCACTTACGATTCGTGGGATGAGCCACCAAGTACCTGGTGAGCATATTCATGCTGATGATGTTTTGCAACTAACATGGCAGGAACTCGTCCGGTCAAACCTCCAAGCCCCCGCACGGCAGCTGCGAGGGCATCTGCTTGTGCCTGCAATGTCAGATCTTGAAGCCCAAGGGGACCCTCGAAGAAAATCCATCGAGCCCCCAAAAAAGTTGGGCAGGTACCCCAATAGCTGGATGGTTAATTTCATGGAAAATCCATGGAAAAAATGAAGGATTTGGGGTACCCCCATGGATTGGAAGCCCCCAAATGGCCTCAAGACTGATGGGCGGTTCAGCCGGGCGATGCCTTACTTCCACGGGCCGCATGCTTTCACCAGGGCCAGACCTAGACCTAGACCCTGGCTTTTATCATCGATTATCATAGATTATCATAGTATGTCACCCCAAATTCGACGTTGCACATTGATTTTTTAGCTCTACGCTGTCGCATGTTGCTCGCTGTTGCGCTCGAGAGGCCGGCAGTTTGAATTGGGGAAAAAAGTATGTCACCCCAAATGTTGGTACGTTCACCAATGTCTACAGGTATTTTGAAGGCCCCAGGCACCTGTTCTTTGATATCGCTGCTGTGGAGGGCCCTGGGGTTCCAACAATTGCAGGAGATCCAGGGGCCTCAAAGGAGCGCTGGTTCTCGGGTGGGATGATCCTAGAAAATGGATAGGAATAGATAGACTTGAATCTAGCAAAACATACTGGCCCCAGAAGATTGAGTGTATTTCCCTTCCAATTTTCGGAAATTCAACTTCGTATCCAAAAACATGTCTTAGAGAGTCTTTCCTGTTCATTTTTGGGGAGGTGTTTTTGTCTACTGACACCTGGGATATCAGGCCCGTCCAAGGCCAATCTGCGGGCAGCCTGCACGGGCATTTGGAAAAGTTTACGTGGTACGTATTGGGATGCCTTGCTGAAACGTACAAATGCTGGGAATCTAGGAACAATATGGAACAATACATACATATGCATATGTGCATAGCAAATTTGTACACTCTAACAATTACAATTTAAAATTTTATATATATATATAGTGTGTATATATATATACTGTGTATATATATATATGTGAATATGAACCATATCATATGTACCACATATACCATATGCGACATAATATGTACTTGATGTATACATAGGTTGAGGCATGTGCATAACCCAAAGAATCCTCTCAAGAACTGGTGATCCTTTGTCTCGAACCTGTATAGTCCCAAATTTGTCAACGGTTCACTTGGAAAATTGCAAATGTCTTGATTCATCTGGATCACGTAAAATTGGTTTGTTCGTAGCCATCCTTAGAAGTTAAGCAAAGCGGTGCGATTTTTTCAAGTTCTCAAGTGGACCACGGTTCTTCGGCCAAGAGGGAACGAGTCAAGAATTACAGGTGCAGGGCCAGTGACCAACACAACAATACAAAAACGTCAAGAGCATCAAGATCCCCGAAAAAGCTCAGCGGAGCATGGGTGAAGTTTCGAGAGGCGAGAAAAAATGCGTGAGAATGAGACGTGTTGACGGCACTGATTTTGGGGAGTGCTCGAGTTTGAGATACAGGAAGGCAACTTTAGGTTCGACCGTTTTCGTCCATGTCGGAATGGTTTGAAGGAACATGTATAATCCGTAATGTATTTTACACAATTGTTTACTATGATGTTGTTTGCCACTTTGTAGCTGAAATTTAAGGGTATGTCTGGGGTGTGTTCGCAGTTTTTGGATTCAAGACATGCAAAATGCTGAATAAAACGTAAACACATGGTATGTAAGGCGTTTTTGAATGCAACTGTGTAAACATAATTTGCAATGTTTTGTCTGACCGTGCCAACATGTGCCAACCATGCAGCGGCGTGGGGAGCCCATAGCTGGAGTTGCAACTTGGTGAATATGGTAGCCTCACTCATCTTGGATTACATGCCCTTAATGTTTCTCTTTTTAAGAATCAGTCATGACCTGGAATTGCTGAAGATGATTGTTATTTTCCCAATGGGAAATCCACTGCTTGGGGAATCTATAAAAGAGTGTTCTTGGTGAAATCAGACATCTGATTGATTGGAGTAACCCCTTCCCCTTCATATCGAATTCTCTCCGTTGGGGCACCAACATCAATAGATCCACTCTAAACCAAGGTTTCGTTTGCAGGGATGGCATCATCTTTTTGGGGTTGTGACCTTACTGTCAATGGCAATTGAGCCATGAAAAACATCCCTATCCTATGCAAGCGTACTGGTTGGTAAACAGGTATCACTATTGTGAACTAGTTCATAATCCCGAATAAACCAGTTATTTAAAACCCACTAATGTTCACTGATAAATGGTCCAGTGCTCAAATTCCCCTTGCACCTCGCGTGCTGTCGCCAGCAGGGCGGCGGTCAAGTCTTGCCCGGGTCGCGGGAAGTGTTTCCTTGGTGACGGGGCTGTGGCAATCGGTTGCCCCGTTTCTGAGGATCCTGAGACCCATGGCGCGGGTATGGCTAGGTGCAGAACTTTGGCCAAGTTCCAAGGGGTGGTTGTGCCAAACATAAGAAGCAGACTGGTTGGCGAATGAATGTACTCAACAAGAAAGCACCAATCAACCCCTCCAGGGGTAGCGGCACAACCAACAACATCCTCAAGAATTGGATTTCGACGAACACTTCCATATTGGTTGTTTCTCGAAATCAGAACTCTGAAAAGTCTCCAAGGGAGTCTGTTCGATCTTTAAAAGAACACTTGCACTCTTGCTACCTGTAAATCTGGCCCATAATCCCAAACAACTCTTGCGAGTGGTTCCCACCAGTGCTGCGTACATGTACTTGTAACATGTTATAAATAGAAAGATCTATAAAGATATGCGGTGTATATAAT